CCGCAGCCCATGGACACCCATTTAAGTTGATGCGTTGCCGGCCTTTAAGGGAGGTGTATACTATTTATTTAAACAATTGGAGGTCGTGTCAGAGAAGACCTCCATCGGGTGTCGATTCCAGAGCTCGCAAAAAGAAAATGTCTTGTTAAGCGTGCCGTGAAAGACTTCCAACAAGTTGATGCGGATGAAATTTGAAATTAATACGGCCCGTACGGTGTTAAAACGAGGCAGGAGAGATCAACCCAAACAACTCTTCAGAACACTCACCATAGTGCACTTTGTAGAATACGCATAGAGACGCAATATATCTGTCTCTTAAAAGTTAAACACAGGTGTGTTGAGGTCATCATTTTACGTAAATACCAGAAAATGTTTTGCCATCTGTATTATTTTACTAATTTTGCTTTGGTTTGTATTGGTAAAATAATATTTTCGGTGGTCCGTAAGGTACGTCAAATATGGAGGTAGGAGTGTGACTAGTACTACATATTTGAATTTTAATTATTATATTGTTTATAATAGATAAATGAAAGATAATACAAAAAACAATTATGTTTTGATGTAACAGTAAGTGGTTGTCGTTGGATAATCGTACGCTAACAAAGCCAGTGTGTACCCCAAAAGCAATGAAACGTAAAGTGAAAAGGAAATAGGGCAAAGGAACAAATCGTTTTGTGAACGCCCGACCGAGTCCGTGCAAATAAAGTTGACGTGCTTTGATGACAGTTTTAGTGTGTTGGTTGAAGTGGGTAGGTTTGGAACTATTGCTACTGTATAATGTATGTGGTTGCGATTCATAGCTTTTATCGTATTTATTCAGGTGATTTTGAAATTATATTTGCGAACTGCCCAGGAGACTTCTGTACCTCTGGAAGGAACTAGGCTTAGTGAGCCAGGACTTTACGCACCTAGTGAGAGTATGAGTCCACCAACCTATAACCTTTTACCAGAATTTCAATTTATAAAGGAATTAGTAATTCACTTTATTACACTTTTCAAATTACACTAACATAAAACCTTTATAAAACCACAGACAACGTTAACATGACATGTAATAAATAAAATTAATAACATGTCAATGTGTCAGGACTGTTTGACAGCTTGAACGTCAACCGCCGATATAGCTTGGTAAATTATTTCGATATAAGAAATATTATTGTGTGGAAAATACTGAAATATGTTAAGACACGAATTCGAACCAACTAAGAAACTTGTGTCCCTTCTTCCAAGTGATAAAAGGTCTTGTTTGTGGATTTCTGACGTTATAATTTTGCAATGTAAGTTGTACTAAGTGAACAACATAGAAAATCGTTTACAGGGAGAGAACGGCTTTATAACCATAATACCAGTGACGCTACAAACTGGTCCTCTGATTATCTGAGATTGGTGTATGTGATAACATATATTTATGATTTATTTGGTAATGATTTAGAAAATTTCATAATACTGTAAATCGATTTTTTATGCAGAATGTCACATCTTTAATAACCAATAGAAAAGTAGAAAATGTACGGTTTGTTTACGAATTTTAATACATTACACAAAATTTTAAATATTTTTTTTAAATACTTAGACGCAACTCCGGCAGCATAAATCACTTGTTCCAATCAAGATCCCCCGAGACACCTACATAATCAGTATCATTAAATTCGGGCGACGTAATTCTTAATCCAACCCCAAAATCGTAATAATTTCATAATTTGTGTCGATGCGGAAAAAAATTTACACCACTGACGAATGCCATCCATCATAGCTTATAATAACGCAACGACAAAGCCCGACAATCACTACTACTAACCCGGCTTTTATGCTTTAGTTATTATTTTAAGAATCAGATTTAAATTTGGTACACAACTTATCAATCCAATGTTTTTGTCTTAATTATTCTAGATCATTGGTATGTTCGTTGAGTTAGGTCTTAAATTAAAATGACAGTACAAACATCACCTCGTATTGAAATTTCAGGTATTCTAGTCTTCATAGGAGCATCGACGATTGCCTATTGTGTGTGGTCACCAGAGCATGCCAAGTATGACTACGACAAACTGGCGCGTGTTATGTATCTATACGATCCTCATGCTTGCGGCTACAATCTACGTACTTCGAAGTCTATATTATCTTTCGAACTGAGCAATGATACTCACGGTTTGAATATACGACCGATCAAACACATACCAGCCGTTGTTACAGTCACATCGATGGTACCAGCGAAAACTAGAAGGTTTTATATATATATTTCCTATGCAATTGTAATAATATTTCGAAAAGTTAAATTTTTAAAGTTATACTTATTTTGGCGCGTTGGGAAAGAATGATGAGAGTAAATTTTTACGATGCGTGCGCACACCGTCACAAAAAACCGACGCCCTGAATATAGCTATAGTCAACATTTTAGGTTTTTCTATTGTGTCGTTTTTTCTAAAAACGTAAAATAAATTTTTTGAAAAGATTTTTATCTTGTTACGCCAAGGAAGTATAACTACTATATGTCGGTTATCGAAAGCTGGCGCGTTCACAGTACTAACACTAATGCAATTTCTCTATACAGTAGGTATGCTTAAAAATATGACTTTTTTGCCAAGCTTTATATTTTAGTCTACTCTGGTTTTAGTATGGTTGGGTAGGTTGTAAATAAATAAAAATGTGTCAAATTCATATAAATATTATGTGCATACGAGGGTCGATCCAAAATTTCTAAGCCCGACCAAGAACGTAAAAGAGTAGTTTGTGTAAATAACTTTTCATTTTTCGACATAATCTCCATCTAGCTCAACACACTACACTTTTACTACACTAACAATTCTTTTAATACTCCTCTTATAAACCCCAGTCGCATCTGATGTCAAATTAAAAATAAAATTTTTTCATTAAACTGCTTAAAATAATTAAAAACATTGTGCACCATTTCACGAGATTGCCCTGGTAATGTTTGAAAAAAGGTCAACATGTACAGTAAAGATCAGCATAAACAGTAGCAAAAGCAAAACAATAACTGTCACTTTTATACTCATAAGCTTGACCGAGCGCGAGAGAGACGGACAGTCTTTTCATGATGTATTTGTGATTGTATTTCAGTTTGACATCACGCCTCGCGCTTATTCACAGACACTACACAAGCACAAAGTGTAAATGTGTTGAAGCCGCCAGCTTTAAATAATATACCAATAACACGTGTACATATTATGTACACACACGTTGTTTTTTTTTTAAATAACATTAATGTTACTGACACGTTTAGTAGAGATCTCCAAGCTATGTCTAGCAATCAAAGCATCGTTTTTCATGATACCTTTTTTTTGTTACAATATTATTTTATTATTCACTCGCATGGCTGGATTTATTTTTAAATAATTTCTTTCAGATACGTGAAAATGAGCGTAATTATTCACAGTTGCTGGTTAATCATAGCAATTTGTTTGAGAGTCTTCAGGTTCGCTACGAAGGTTCATATTTTGAAGATTATCCTCAGTTTGAGTTATTTCTCCTGTATATTGATAATATTCTTTGACGTGTCAATGGCTATCGTTTATATCGCCCACATCCAAAGAAGCCTCACAACTGGAATGATACTACGGTACAGCGGCTGGAGTGTTGAGATGAAACTTGATCATTACAATAGGTTCGGTGGCTGGCTTCCAATGGCGGCATCGGTGTGCTGGCTGAGAGGCGTAATTATATTTGCGCTAAATATATACATCTGTAGAAAAATCAGTCTTATTAAGAACAGCATAAAGAAGAGAGAGGTCAATAAGAAATTGATGTTGGAAGAGAATATGCCGATACCCGAACCGGTGTTCGAAGATTCGTTGGACGATAACGTGCTTTATTATAGAAATGGAGAATATACACCAGTCGAAAAGAAAAATCAATGGTCCTTCTTTTTCTAAGATAAATATTGTAATTTACTATACGACTTCTGAATTAAATTAAATCTTTTAACTAAAGAAGTAATTTAACCTGACAATGTTAAACTTGCAATGTTAAAATGACTATATAATGTGAGGTGCGGTTAAAACTTAACCACAAAAATACTTGTTTGTATGTTCTAGGCCGTTACAGGTTACAATAACTGTTATTCCATTGAGTAACCTGGGTTTTATTTAACCAGAGCACGGGAAATCAAGATCGATAACTATTGTCCTATATAAATCCCAAACGTCATTTAAAACTTAATTTGATTCCTAGTCTCTATTGTAAAGTAAAAGGAAACTATGCAAAGCGAATATCTGATACGTGAATGTTAATTTTAGTTCAGGTAAGTTAATACAATTATTTTTATACTGGATTAAAGAAGGGAATCTCCTTAACTTGTCTAGCTGTCCGGGAATTTGAAATGGGTTCGGAGGGTGTATTTATACAATAAAAACCACTTAAATTACAATAATATTTATTATACACTCGTCTGGACCAAAAGTACAACAATTTCATCCACTGATTGTACAAACTGTTAAGGCCCTTGGCCTCATAATTTCAACATTGCTCTTTATAGTTTAACTCCTGCCTGATATTTCAGGCATCGACGTTGATTTTTGAGTCTAAGACGAGTCGTATTTATTGCATATAAAAATCTATCTGGGCACAGCCAGAATGCAAGAACCTGAAGTTTAGAGCTCCTAAGCTATTACAGTTTTAACTGAATTAGAATAAAACACTTTGCGTGACCGAATCTGACGGCATTTGGGCTCATTCGCTCATCGTCAGCTCCATTAAAATCCGGGGAAATCAATAAAAGTAATTTATACTGGAATTATCGTTTAGCAAATGCGAAATTCCTCAACGACCCAAAAGAAATTCAATCTGGGGACGCATTAAATTTTTCATTACCACGTCGGCAAAGGACAGCCATTAATTTTGGAATTTGAATCAAAATCCGAACAATTCTGCTAAATTAGTTCATGGCCTACTTGAAAACGTTTGTCCCTAAACTCCCGTTGATAACCGAGTTAAAATGTCCTGAATTAACTTTTAATTGAATAGTAATATTGTGAAGCGTAAACAAGATGAACTCACTGGGAATTTGGAGCATTGTAATGATAATTTATCAAAGTGAGTTCGCTTAGTTATGAAAGTTCATCGAAAGCTATGGATAGGAACTGGAATAACTTTTATTGTAAGAAGCTTAGTGGACAGGCAAATAGCTTGAAGGCTTAATGTGTTTACGCAGTAGTTTAGAAGTTTATTTAAAAGTCAACGACAATCTTTTTAAGATTTTGTGAAATTAGTAAGGCATTTACTATCTCTGTGACATATCTATAATATGAATACACTCAACTATCGGTTCCCTAAACATTGTTTCCTTGTAATTAAAACTATGCCGTATATTTCAATCCGTAAGTATCCGACGAGTCACCACTTTACTACATAATTTATAAAATAATCATTAATCACCTTATCTATAATTTATATTCTAGGTGCAATTTGCATGCTAATATCCTGGTTAACACTAAGCTGTCGTTTTGTTCCCGATAGCAGTGAACTGCATGAGGTAATTCTGATGAAGCTTCTATACCTATACGATCCTGAGGCCTGTGGAAGAATCCACTTCTATAACTTCACAATCGCTAGAGGAGAAAATACAATCTTTTCAACTATCATGTGGCCTGTTAGAAATCCTATTGCATCTAGATTTAGAAGGTACATGACACTTTTAATCTGGCAATTTGCCTCACACCGACGTAATACGAATTTAAATAAGTTTTAAGATTTTTTTAACTGAATAGTTAATATTTTTTACATAACTAGGTAAGGTGTAGATGTACTTTAGTCAAGTTGCTGTTTCTCATTATTTTACTTTTGAATGTAATTAGTAGGAAATCAGGATTTTTTATCTAAATTGAAATGATCAAACATCTTGTAATGTAATTAGCGTAAACCGTAAAAAAAATATGTTTTTCTAATTTTTGTATAATGTTCCAGTGTTAATATTAATGTTATTTATGATTTAGTTATGCACTTCTTGCACTTTACCCTTAGTACCTCGTTCCTTTACCTACTAGAAGCCCGTAAGAGATCACTTGATAGCAGCCCGTTGCATCCCTAATAATTTATTTAATGTTTATTGTAATAAGTATTAATAAATAATTTAATTATCCAGTGCAATGCGGATCTGGTTGTCGCTTCACATAATCTGGCTTGCTTTAAGCATTGTGAACCTCACACACGCAAGACGACCTTGCGGATTCTATGCTGTGGTGGTACCCTTTACATTAACCGGCCTGGCTGTGTTGGTGACTGACGTGGTCTTTATGGCCATGTTTATAGAGGATATTCCGCAAACCGACACCGAAAGTAAGGATTTTGTCGTACAACAATAAATCACGGGTGAATATTATGAGAATGAGTCTAGCCTTCTAGATATAGAATATATGAGGAACTGCAGCATGGTCTGTGGTCTATGCCTACGCCTTTGGGAAACAGCTGTAACTAATTAGTTATTTATGTCCTAACAGGGTTAGACCTATTATATCTAAACTCTATAAAAAATTAACGATGCTATGAAAATACCTTTGGGTACTTGTTCGGTTCCTGGGTAATCGACGTGCTTTAAATAATATAGGATTTTAGTTTTATTCTATATTAACCACTCGCGTATAACAAAAGAATAATTATAAGCATTTGAATGCAATATTGTAACAGTTGAAGAGAGTGCCTACATATGGCTATACTCTCGGGGCGTAACTCCGACGATTCAGGAAATCGCCACGCCTATAAAACTAATAAGTCCTGAGTGAGCAAAATGTACAGTCTTGACTCTTACAGTACTAAAAAAATATTCACGCTACGTAAAGTAGGTTACGTAAGTTTTTATGTTAACTTAAAGTTACGCAGTACGAATACTTTTATTTGCTACGAGTCGCAAACTACCATAATAATATTACAATTTATACTCACAAACACCCAGTAAGTATCCGAAAATTAGTAGCATTCACACATTAGTTGAGAACGATGAGGTAGATACGTCGGCAGACGCTAACATGGATGGCAGAATCACCGCCCGTCTACCGAATAGTAAAAGTATATTATGTTCTTGTATTTATTCATTGTATAATGTTTTATATATACATTCACAGTACTCTACGCAACCTATTAGGTTTTCTTATTTCTCCTGTGTTAATGTTCTTAGGTGTCCAGTCTAGGATTTCCGAATCCATAACTGAACCATAGGTAAGGCCCCCCTTCACTGTAATATACTCTTCGTAAACCAACTATCTCTATCAAAGAGATACTCCATATTAGATGAAGAGAGATCAAACACATTCACACTCTGATAAACGTTGGGACAAATTACAGCTTCAATGTAGTTGGGATTAACAGCTTGGCGAGTGTACTTCCAATCAAATGCTTCTAATAGGCTACATGGGTAGCAAACGGGCTATGAAACGCGTGATTGTTTATAGTAGATTATAATATATAGATTGTTTATTATTTATACAAATGTTTTGGAAAAAAAATGCATCGAAATTTTGTTAAAACTTGTAAGAAAATATTAGATGTTTGAGGAAAACAGTCCATAATATATGTTACGACGTCAAATATTTATTTGCATATAACATTATATGATGCGCTTGGCGAAGAATAGGAAGAAGTATGAAGAGCTGACCGCCAATCTCCAGTAGCGGAGAATCACTACAAGAAGAAGAAGAATATGAAGCTAAAAGAAAACGAGTATAGTTAACTAGTGGATTAAAACCGAATATTAAACGACAAAAGAGTTTTAAGGGTTCAGCGTCGTAGATTCGATCCCCTGCTGTGCATCCGCGAATTTCTTTCTATGTGCGCATTTAACATTCGCTCTAACAGTGAAGGAAAACATCGTGAGGAAACCGGCTTGCCTTAGACACAAAAAGTCGACGGCGTATGTCAGGCACAGGAGGCTACTTGCCTATTAGATTGACAAATGATCATGAGGCCCAGACCTAAAAAGGTTGTAGAGCCACTGATTTATTTTTATTTTTAAACGTCAAAAGGCAAGATAGACTAATTTGAAACACTTCTTAACATATTTATAAGAACCATAAAACCAACAAGAATAATAAATGTTTTCAAAGCGTTCATTCTAATAATTTATCATTGCTTTCTGTGCTTTTGACAGTCTCATAATCGTAGCTAACCGCTCGTTCCGTGGCCGGCTTCACGTTAAAGGCTTCAGGTACAGAATGAAGCTGTTATTACATGTGGTTAAAGCTTATTAAAATCGTATTAGAGTTATAGACGGGATTTTTTACTTAAGTTTAAAATCACATTTTCAAGATGCCTTCATAGAGAGCAATATAAATGTTTTAGAAAGCCTTTATGCTTGAACTAATGTGTCTTGTAGTGCCTTTTTTTTGACATATGTATTGCCCGATCGACTAACAATATAGGGCGGCGACACTTATCAAATCTACCTTTTTCAACAAGTCCATTTATTTATATTTTCAGTTGGAATGTTGGACTTTATGAATGGTGGCGGTAAAAACCTCAGATGGATTGTGAAGAAATACCCATGGCAGACGATGCAGGAGTTGGGTCTATCTGCTTTAGATGATACGTCTTGGATAGCACTTCTTTTTGCTTTCGCCAGCTGCAGAGGAATTGTGCAATGGATTCTAAACTTCTGGCTAGTGAAGGATAACTATTTTACTGGGCTTGATTATCACCGTAAGACACCTATACTTAATGTAGCCATAGAAACAAAATAGTTGAAAGAGAAATAAAAGTTATATTTAATTATTTTAGTTGAAGTTAGAAGACACAAATACGCAACAAATATAATCATTTTAGGATTCACAAAACCAATGGAGCCATTACAAGAGTATTAGTGATGTTTTAATTAATTCAATATCAAATGAATAGCAAAACTGGCTGAGTTTGTTACACTATACTAATCTAAAATCTTCCTTTAAGTACATTAAACTTCCTTTACAGGTAAATTACAAAAAGAAATAAGTGTGCGACGTGATCGTGTTTTAAAACATTAATTTCCTCATGTCTATATTGAATCCTGTAAGACTCAATAGTATAAAAATAAATAAAAACAATGTTTTATTAAATCACCTTTCCGGTAATGTAAAACAAAAGACGAAACGGTACGTTGGCATTGGACAAACAGGTATAATGACGTATCATGTCGAGAGTGAACTACTGTTGGCTGGAGATGGTACCACAAACGTAACGCGCTGTCTTTCTTTGATTTTCATTACGTTTTATTAAAATCTAAGGTATTGTTAGCTGTCCCGTTCCTTCCTCCACTAATTGTCTGTACTGTGATCAAGCTGTCTTTTTCAGGTATGTTAGTCGAAATTTTAGCTCATATATGGTTCAGCATACTACTAAATATTTTGTTTTTATTTTTTAGAAAAAGCTTTTTGTTTTATTTTTTTATGATACAGCATACAAAATACATACAACCCTTAACTGTCACCCCTCTACAATCAACCCCTATATTTTATTATAGAAGATAGTTATTTTTATTGAACTAAAAAAATGTTTCCTAGAAATAATATACATGGCGAAACGATGTTCACCGGGTCAGCTAGTTCATTTATAAGTTTGTATTGATAACTTCTAATCTCGGGAACTACTCATTGGAATTCAAAAGTTAATTTTGTGTTAGATTCCATTGATATACCATGACACTACGACTGAATTAACACAAACGAGGCATATCTAGTCTGCCTATATATAAGAAACTGCATCTTTGTCTCTCGCCGATTTTATAAGCAAGCAGATTTCCAGGATTCTAAGTAATATTGCATGTTCCTTGTGTTGTGCGATTTACTGTTAGTAAAATCAATTACTAAAAAAATAAATAAGTAAATATGAATAGGTCCATTTCCCAATAAATGTTTTAATGGCATACTTAAAAACCTTTGTGTATATTTAAGTTTTGCCCTTGAGTATTCAGGATTACATTCTCATTATAAACCATTTTCATTGTGAGTAAACATAAAGTATCAGCGTAGCGTTGATAGCAATTCATATCCCTGTGAGGATTATCCATATCTAGATTAGGCTTTATTCATAAGAAAAATTATATGTTTCACTTATCCCTGACATAAATGTATGGGAATGATATACAGTATAACGAATGAGTTTCAGCTACTTTGAAAACAAGAGATGGGTGATGATGTTAATGTTTCAAGCAATTTTTTTTAAAGACTCGTCTATATACTTTTTTATCAATAAATTCGGCGTTTATATGAAAAAAAAACTCCTTGACGTTATACAACTTTTCTACGACAAATAATTAGCTTTACAAAGGCTTCATATGATTTATCTTAAGACAGTTGATTTCGATTTGAAAAACCACAAATTCGGATCTTAATTCTTTTGTCGGCAGACTAAAACTGCGTACGATTGTGATATTTTAATTTAACTTTTGTTTTTGTTAGGATAATTTCTATCTAGACTATTGGCAAAAATAGACATCTGGAATAGGTTGGAGAAGGCCGAGTTGGAATACCGTGGACTTCGAAGTGCACCACCCTGACCCAACTCCGCATACGGACTCGCCTGTCTACCATATGGTAGGTATATGCCTACAGCGAATGGTATCTTATTTCGGCCATACAATGCGCAGAGGCGATGAACACTTAAAGAAACTGATCGTGGTTGGTAACAAAGAAGGCAAAAGATCACGTGGTCCTCAAAACAACTATCATAAGATAGGCGCTGGACAGAAACCGGTGGAAACAGACAATCCGCTTCAGATGCATCGTTGCTGACCAAGACGCTCAGACGAGCTGCCGAGAGATGAATACTAAGAACACTTCTAACAACATTTGAAAGAGAACTTAAGGATATGGAAATAAAAAATGCTTCATTATTATTTCTGTCAATTTATATGAAACCGCTCTTACGAAACCTTTGAACAAACCCTTAGCAAATCAAGACCTGTTATTAACAGAAGCGGATTGTTTACTGACTGATAGAGCTCCATATTATCTTGTAATATTTGTCTACGAGTAATGCTTAGATTTGTATTTATTACTGATATTGGAATCTATATTCATATCCAGGTTATTTGTCCTTATATTAATGTATTGTGAATCAAGTTTCGTTAGCTATTACAATGAGCTGTTTACTGTAAAGTGAAATTATAGCGTGAGTAAGAAATTAAAAACTTAGCCCTTTTATGAACTGAATATAAAATAAACTTAAATTATCATAGCTTAGGTTAAGCGTTCGACCTTCAAGCCTAATATCGTTCGGACCCCGGCTGTTCATTAATTTTATCTTTAATTAACATTTGTACCATGAAAAGTTATTATGGATCTTCATAAACACAGAGCGTTTAAAATTGTTGAATCGTGTATGCTTTATGCAATAATCATAATTCTAACATCAACCTCCACACATTGAACACTCAACACGGGATAACCATTATGACTTGACGTCATAGGTTCAATGTCATAGCTTCGTGCTTTGCATAAACATCCTTCTGGCGACCTCACGATACCATTTATGATACACAAAGATCAATTAAGCGGTCGATCCCAGTATAAATGTAAGTACATTTGATAACCAGCATCATACCAATCAAAATGAAGTGCGTGATCGTGTTGTGTTTGATCGGAAGTTCTTTGGCTGAGCTGCCTCGTTTTACGCCAGCGAGGTTCAGGTTTCAGCGCCAAGAATTAGCTCCAACGACAACGGATACACCCACGGAATCCACGACAGACGTGACCGCACCCTACCCACCATCTGGTTGGAAACCATCGGGAGAACCTTTCACGCTTCCAGATCAGACCGATGCCACTCCCACTGATACATACGGCCCTCCTGCTCCATATCCACCTTCAGGATGGAAGCCAGCGGGACAGGCTTTCACACTACCTCAAGAGCAGACTACAAGCACACCTGACAGCACGTACGGGCCGCCGGGTGCACCCTATCCACCATCAGGGTGGAAACCATCAGGAGAACCCTTTGCTCTGCCTCAAGAAACTACACCTGACAACACTTACGGCCCACCGGATAATTCTTATGGCCCTCCTGAAGCCAATACCGAAAAGTTGGACGGACCAGTAGAAGTGCAAAGAAGCATTGGTACGTACTACGTATTGCTTCCGAACGGTCAACTGCAGCGAGTGGAATTTCTGACAGAGAACGACATTCAGAATATGAAATACACGGCAAGGTTGGAACTGCGTGATCGTGCACCGCTTTACGTTTTTGGACCTTAAATTAACAAAAATACCAATAAATAATTGTTAAGTAAAACTGTAGTTTCACTTGAATTTTTTGCCATATACTACTTATTTCGTATAATAAACACAAATCTTCCAACCATCTAAACGAATTTAAACACTGTTTTTATAAGCTTTAAACAGCCTGTAAATTATATGTTACTTCACATAAAATATAGTTACTAATAGAACTATATTAACAAGTCATAATTTGCATTTGGCAGAAACTGATATAAATCAATACTAAATAAGGAGAAACATATTTCCATTGGATGTTTTTAAAATAAATAATAACAGTTGACATATATTATATTATATTCTGTATTAATATTGAAGCAGTCAACCAAAAAGTTATCATACGCATCGGATGTTTGAGAATTGAGAGAGCAATATTCAGAAAATTAAAGTGACAGAACGAGCTTCAGATTTTGATTAAAAATTCACGAATCACCAGTACGATACAGTGAATTGGTGGCAGCGAAATTAAAAAAGTTTCTGTATTATAGGCCTATGTACTTACCGTGAACAAAAGCAGCTTTATCTGAAAAGAAAATTATACAAAATTAGTCTTTCTCGGGTCAAGTTTTAACAGCTCTGGTTACCTCCTTGTTCTGTTTACCTGGATTTATAATTACACAAAATGTTGTATCCTTTGCGAGGAAGTAGGTCATGTATAATTTAGTTGCCTTTTCATTAAAATAGGTTTAGCGTAGCATCAAATATTACTATTAACATAACGATTGTTACCTTGAAATATATTTTACATATGTACGGAATTATTTTTGAAGTTTTTTTTTTACTATTATTAAATAATCCTTAAATAAAACCTGGTAGGTAAATGAAAGTCAAAGTGAAAAAATATAAGTTATTTGAATTATGCTTGATTTTTAAATCGATAAACTAAACTGCACTTTCAGCTAGTAGACACTTTATTTTGTATAATATGTATTATTATTAACATAATTGAACCTTACGTAAATATAATATTATAGGTAATAACAGTAAAAAGTTATAATAACTTTTATATTTACATTAATTTACATTTTTTATTCAGCGAACACCGCAAAAACTACTCATTATATTCCTATCTATTAAGTGTATTTTAATAGCTGTTTGTTCTAAAAAAAACTCACGAACGTTCTGATTTATCCAAATATGTAATTTGTCCTTTCTATTTGTACAAATATAGTTTTGACTTATAGTCTTATAGTCTCTCGATTCAGCAATAAAACAAACGTAAGCAACAGTCAAAGCAAACAATTAAGTTCCTAGGAATTCAATAAGTCGAGATTTATAACCTGAGCAAAATGTTAACTACATTGCTCAAATAAACCACCAGGCGCTTCAATTTCGCGTTCGTCTCAAATTAAACTTAGATATATTATCTTGCTAATCGTTATGAGGCATATAGAAAACGTCCCGAAATGCTCTTTATAGCTTATTAAACATGTACCTACAAAGCAAAATTCTCTCTAAAAATAATTTTGTTTGGAATAAAAATGTAGTTTTCTGCCTTCCAAAAAATATATGGATAGTTCGATGTTTCGACTTATAATCGAGGATTATCACGATTTTATAATCCAGTCAATAATCAGAATTATTACAAATACCTACGAAAAAGGAAGATAGGGTACACGTAACAATTTCGCAACCACTCAGCGATTCTTGTAATAATAAAAGCCCGTTTAATTTCCAATAATTACAAAATAAATAATATACAGCTTCGATTTTTTTACATTATTTTTCAGGTAAAGGCCTGCTCCAGCTTTTTCTTAAAAGCGATTCTTGTAAAGAGCTATAAATCAGAATTACTAAGTTACAGACGAAACTAATTACGCGTTATAAGTTCGTGGAGTGCATAATTCCTGATGAACGGGCATCGCGCTCAATATACTACTATAATAATATAAGTCAATAAAACATTAATAAGAAGTCTTCCAATTATAATCAATCTGGGGGATACAATGTCAATTAACTCAGTGAGTAGTGAACGTGCGCCTGCGCAGGTCGTGTTGCTTAGTGAGTTACATACAAAAAGCATACAATACATAGATATTTAAGCTTCTTTAGGAACGACTGCGTTATACTCACAACTATATTAAAAACTTCATACATTAACTAGACAGCTGAATCCGTCAGTGAAATTTGGCTGGCAAGTGTAATTTGTGTTCGAGTGCCTTGCCTCGTCTCCGCCTTGCCACATACTAACATGACATTGTTATGTTTCAAATATTGCACTGCAAGAAACGATAAAAGATTGTATAAGCTACTTTAATAATAACAATAAAAATTAATGACTAATAAAATAACAATAATAATAAGAATCAGGTCATTCTGAATTTGAGTAATAGGTTATGGAAGTGTAAATATATTTTATTTGCTATAGTTTATTAGTGGGACAATGGATTAGCTAATCTTCACCAACTATGCAAAAAACTCTGTTTAGTATAGTGCAGCCCGAACATACAACGACCAATATTTAACCCTTGACTTGTTTAAGCTACCGCGGAATATGGTTAAAAGCAGTATAAGGAATATCCATGACGCAAAATCACCTGCATCATGAGCATACCCCACATACACACCTTCACGTACATACCCTCACTTTCACACCATCCCACAACACAGCCGAAAGGGGTATTACTTAATTAAATGAATTCAATATTTTTTATCGATGTTTTCCTTTGTAATAGTTTGAACATTTTTTATATATAATATTGATTTTGTTATATATAATTTATGTTACCTGTAGGATTACAAAATTAATATTAACGTGTGTAAATATTTGCTACCTTGGAACGAATAAGATATTAGATAAGACACAAAGTATAAATATATAGTTTTTAGTTCTATTCCGAAGTGAAGGTAACATTTAGGAGGAAGGACCTCTGTCATTCTCAGCTGGAATTTAACGTATCAGGAATACAAATGAGCGAAAAAAATAAGATTGTGTACAATATCCGCAAACACCGCCGCAATTGGGAATCTATTTAACGGGAAGATATATTGAATTTTCTTTTTTAAAGACACGAAAGTTTATAATAAAAAGGGATTTAGTATAATAACTGGTAAAATATTTTTTGAAATCGTTTTTATATAATACATTAGAAACAAATCTTTCATATATATTAAAATAATAGGTATAAAAAATTGTTGTTAGGAGATTCTAGACCCTACTTGGATAGCTTAGGTGTACCATATCAACACCTCTATTGCCAGAAATAGCTTATTGATACAAACATTGTTGACATGTCAAACATTTTGCAGATCACATCAAATTAAGTGTCATCAAGGCCAGCAGTATTTAATGGTACATCATTAACGTCTCAACTCAATAACATATATTATATTATACAAGTATTCAAAGGTGGCGACGGTCAATGTCAAAAATATAAATGTAAGTACGTGTACAATTATGAACACAAATAGATATTAAATACATAGTGACATACATTAACGTTTAAATGGCTTGAAATACTCTTAACTAACCTATAACTATTATTAGTATATAACATTAAGTATAATCAATTCTAATTTATTTCGGTCGGACTTATAAAAATAATATATATAATTGTTTGTGATAATAAATCCTATTTAATTAATAATAACTTAGAAGACCAGGAAGCCAGTTTTTACGACGTACGTAATATATCTTAGGAAATAAATTTTTATGTTTTTTAGCAATTTTTTTACGCACTTAAATACTCAGTTTTAGTTGGTTTTCGAGAGTTTGAGTTAAATTATGTTTTATAATATATTTTATAATAATATATTATCATATCCAAATAGCGTATTACTCCCCTAAATGGATTATTACGATATTATAGACAGGAAAAAAATAGGCAGCACATAATTAAAATTAATATAAAATATATAAATACACTATGCAATTAAACTATTTGGATATGATAATATATTAAAAGATATACAGGCAGAGAAAATAATAGTTTTAGTTATAGTAACATTATTTACGAATAACACACTGCACTGCACTGTGGCGAAAATCGAGTCGGATTCCAATCTCAAACAGGTTTTTATTCACAATATTAGAAACATACCTATCGCCTACACGTGTGGTTTATTTTATCAACGATAAGCGAATTAAAATATCGCTTTACATACTATAGTAATCATACTGTGTAAGAAGAGGTGAGTAATTTTTTTTGTCAAATTTATAGATTATTTAAGTGCATTTGTGTGTAATTATTATAAAATAAAGGGGACCAGAGCAATACAAAAAGCATATTATTTTTAATTATTTGCCACGCTGTGTTTGTGAAATATAAGTGTATTGCAGCATCGAGGAAATTGCATAGTAGGCTGAAGAATGTTATAATATTATGTCTTTGTCTGTCTAAGATTCCGAAATTATTTTCCCATGAAAAAAAACCTTATTCTCTAAAGGTACCGCAGGAGTATAAAATATATATTTTATTATGAGAGAAAAAGCGCAAAAATTCTTAAAACGTTCTAGTCAATACATGTAAATTAAAAACTGGTGAGCTTAGCTCATTTAATTAAAAACACTGTGGCGATTTAATTATTTTCTTTTGATGGCTATATAAGCAATAACTAATATTATTTTGTCATTTAGACGTGAAAAATGGTCGAAGTTACAACAGAGCAGGGAAAATTGGAGGGAGTCAAAGTGAAAACTGTCACAGACAACTGCGAATATTACAGTTTTAAGGGGATTCCATATGCAGAACCTCCAATTGGAAAATTAAGGTTTTTGGTAAGTTTAGTAAAAACTAACATAGTTGGCACATAAAGTTAATAAAATAATTAAATTTAACTAACATACAATTTTGAACAAATAACGACTCAATGAATGAATTTCAATTTCGAATTATCAATGGAATTATATCAATTATTTTCAAAATAGATACTATCCATGTTTATACATTATATAGTGTATTCATTTTTTTTATCTATATATATCTTCTTTATCGTGGAAATAAAGACATTAAAAATCGTTTCATAGATAAGAAATATTAAATACGACATTTTCTGTAAATTTTAGGAGGCCCAACCTATAAAACCATGGACTGGAACCAGAAAAGCCACAGAACACGGACCGATCAGCCCACAATTTGACATTTTTGCAAATGAGAAAAAAGCTGGGAACGAAGACTGTCTTTATCTCAACGTTTACTCTCCAGATATTTCACCAAAGACTCCCCTTCCCGTGATGGTATTTATACATGGAGGGGGATTAAAATGTGGTTCAGGTAATGACGACCACTATGGACCCGACTTTCTAGTTAGTCACGGTGTTATCTTAGTAACCATGAACTATAGATTGGATGTCTTTGGTTTTCTATGCCTAGACACGAAAGAAGTTCCAGGAAACGCTGGATTTAAAGATCAAGTCTTAGCATTAAAATGGATTAAACAGAATATTCGGAAATTTGGAGGAGATCCTAATAACATTACACTCTTCGGTGAAAGTGCTGGTGGACTTTCCACTTCTTTACACGTATTGTCTCCACTATCTCAAGGTCTCTTTCAAAGAGCTATCGTAATGAGTGGTTCCCCATTTTGTGAGTGGGCCCTATCATTTGAACCAAGAAAAAGAGCATTTGTGCTCGGCAAGCAATTGGGGTTAGAGACCGAAGATCCAGATAAACTATTGGAGTTCCTTCAAAGTGTCCCAGTTGAAAGTTTGGAAAACACAACGCCATGCATATTAATATCTGAACAACAAAGCGACTATACAAAATTCTATCACTTTACTGCAGTTGTGGAAAAAGAATTAGGTCAAGCGGCGTTTATATCTAAAGACCCAGAAGATATTGTTAAAAGTGGGAAAATCAATAATGTAGACGTTATAATAGGATACACTAGCAACGAGATGATTATTACCTTAATAGACCCAAATATTATACCGAGATATCAATTGTATGATGAACTTTACTTGCCCCGAAAAATTGTATACAATTCTACGCCGTCGAAATTCTTGCAGATCGCGGATAAAATTAAAAAGCACTACGGTATACCGAATGCTGAAGGAAACACTCTGGTTCAGAGGACTGTTAAATTTTTGTCGGATTCCATTATGACTTATCATATTCAAAAATTATTAACACTGCTGGCTAATTCAGGGAAAATTAAAACCTATTTTTATCAATTTTCGTCGCAATCCGAGAGAAATGTTATTGGAAAATTGGGCAAAGAATTTGGAATTCCAGGTACATCTCATATTGACGATCTGATGTATTTATTCAACGCAAATATTTACAACAATCCATTAATCAAAGGCACTAAAAGCTACAATATGGTTCATCAGTTCTGCACCTTATTTACGAACTTCGCTAAATATGGGTGAGCATAATTTTATTAAGTTTAATCTTAAGTATTTCAGATTGAAAAATATTTTAATTATTCGCCTGTTACATTTTGTTTAACGAAATGTCATTGAACCCTGTTCTATAGCTTATCTCATTACATTTAAATATTCTATTTTGCCGCCTATGTTATAAAATGGTTTAACTTGGTTAATGCTAAAGGTGGACAAAGTCCCGGGCATCATTAGGTCCATTGATTGTGTATGTACTTTATCAATAGCTTAAATATCGTTTCGCAACTTTGCAAGCTTGCGAAGCTTCTTAAATTGTTAGTCTCCATGGACGACGGTATCCTCCTGCCTGTTTCCTGCCTGATCTATAAAATGAATTAATTATATTTCATACTAGGTATAATAACAATTTAAATTAAGAGTATTTTTTCAAATTTCAGAAATCCCACTCCTGACGGCTCAATGGGTGTTACATGGCCCGAATACGACACGATACATAAGGGTTACTTGGATATCGACGAGGAACTGTCAAGTGGAACAGCTCTTCACGAAGATGTTATTCAATTTTGGCAAGAAATATATACCTCAGCTGGCGTTCCTTATTAGACATGGCTTTCTTAGAAAGATAAACGATATCAAAATGTAGGATAAGGATGCATAGGGACGCTTTAATCACAAAATATACTTCACAACGTAGTCTCGTACTTATGAAATTTAAATAAAAATAAAATAAAATCATCAGATATTACTAATATTAAAATGGCTTTTTCTGTAAAATGTCAATGAAGGATTAAGAGGGCATATAAAATATTGCAGGCGTTATTAATTAATAACATGGAAAACAAAAGAATAAAATTAACTTATAACATACTATGATATGGGCGGTAATGAGCTGATCAATTTAAAATAAAGCATTGTTAAGCACATTTCGGGTAATTCAATTTTCTTATTAATTATTTATTTTGAAAGTAATGGTCACGTATTTTAGAATAGATAGATTGTAACTTATATTGCATTTTGTACAATATAGTTGCATATAAGCATATTGCATAATGCAATAAATAAATAAACATACTGTCATAAACATAAAAGGCAAAGTTAGTAGAATTGAACCGAAACTTATACATCTTTTCTTGATTTACTTCTTATCCATGCGCTAGGGAGAGAGAAGCCATGGCCCCTGGATCAGCCCTTGTCCGAAAATTACATCGAGAATATACTAGAACACGCGTTAAATAGTTATCCAAACACATGGAATAGGAACCAGGTACGATATCTAACATAAAGAAGATATTTCTACTCGTTCGAAATGAAAAATTAAATGCGAATTAAAAGGATAACTCCTAAATTTTTGCATTTTTATTCTATATCTTAAGTGGTCAAATAATTCGTCTTGTTATGCATCGTCCGTTCCTTGAACGTCTGGTTATGCTGCTTGATTTAATGTATATATATGCAATAATTATATACTAGCTGCCCCCGCGAACTTCGTTTCTCCTTAATGTGATTTTACTTAGCCTACCTTTTTAGTTCATAGCAACATGGAACATTTCGCTATGCTACCCCAGAGACTGTTAGGTTGTTTGGAATGAAAACTTTTTAGGTTTTTCTGTGAATTTTTCTCTATATACCTCAGAGTTCAAGTCATAAGATTTTAATTAACAAATAAAAATTGGAGTTGATCATAGAGGGATGAAAACTTAAGGGTTGCATGTATTTTTGGTATGATGTACTTATCATTTAAAAAAAATTGTCGAAAAAATAAAAAATTGGGGTGGACACTCCTGTTGGTTTGAAAGATAGATAGTAGCCGATTCTCAGACTTACTGAATATGCATAATAAATTTCATAATAATCGGTCAAGCCGTTTCGGAGGAGTATGGGAACGAACATTGTGACACGAGAATTTTATATATTAGATATATAATGGTGAAGATAACGAAGAACAATTCAGAAAGGATTTACTCAAAATAACTGTTTCTAGGGAGGAGGAAGGGACGCACCATCAACGGTACCAACAACAAAAAATATTAACCAGTTTAGTTTCTTATCATCGACGTCGACGTCTGCCTTTCGATAACTGAGAGTTATTTAAGGAAGCTTTTGGCAGGTCGCGTACCATCACTATGTCGAACAAGCTGACCACTGAAGTATTTCCGAACCAATTCGATGGACCCTACGTCCACCATTCCAGAAAAAGCGTACCTATTCTTAAAACGCAGGCAACGCGCGCCTTCCGGCAATGTCAGTGTCATAGTGCTTATTATCAGGTGAATCTCAGGTTGGCTTGCACTCTGTTATATAAAAAAAATTAGAATCTCATTTTAGGATGAGTCTCTTTACATAATATCTGGTTTTTGTCTCAAACAGAATATTAATATCAAAACATTCACAGCAAATAGAAATAATTATCTAAATAAACGACTACGAAATCCGGTATTTTTTGTCAGATGTTTGTTATGTGAAGGCTTATTATAAAAATTTGAATCACTATCAAAGCTAGCGCATTACAATCCAATAAATTTCAACTTCAATAAGAAGAGCATGTTAGACATTTGCAACCTTTTCTGTAGAACCTAATATAATAATCTCATTAGAATATCGGCGAAGTCAGCAAGACTTGCTTTTTTTACACGCTATTCTTAATGGGCTAGATAGCCCCTATTTGCTGTCGTTAATTTCTCTTAAAATTCCTCCTCCTTATGCGACAAGACACACAAAATTGTTCCATGTGCCTTGTACGAACTCGAATTGTCTGCATAATTCGCCAATGTTTCGGGTTTTATCTAACTGTGATACCAATTATGAGGATATTGATATTTTCCACCTCACCAAAGAAGATGTGAGAAAGTATTTGAAGAGGCAATCCTCTGATTTTGTTTCAGCAGTGATTTGAAATATTAAGTATTAGTTGTTGTTTTAAATGTTAAATTTCAATTTTCTTTATATAGTTTCGTCTATTAATGTACTTATTTGTTTTCTGTTTCGTATATATTGTTTATCTATGTAATCTGTTTTGGCTTTCTGTATTGTCTGAGTATTTTGTTTTATAGTAAATAAAATAAATAATAACAAGCGTTAGAATCAGGTTGTTATAACCTAAGTGGGTATTTAGCAATATATAATTATATTAACCCTAGTAAGTAATTGTCTGCTTTAAGAAATACATTATTGTTATTATTTATACCTACCTATAACAGCCCGGGTTTCCGATTATCAGTTCAGTAGGATAGCTTATCCACGAATTTCTGGAGGTTACATGTATGATATAGGTAAATAGCAAAACAGAGCAGTGTTGGCCTAGTGGTTTTAACGTGCGATTCTCACCCCTGGGATCGTAGGTTCGATAGACTTTCTGCCTAAGTCGACGGTGTGTGTCAGGCACAGAAGGTTTAACCTAATTATCAAAGAACATATACGAAAATCTGAGGCGCAGACCTATGGTTATAGCGCAATTAGTATGTGCGTATATAAATAGCATTTATTTTAAACTATTATATATATAGAATTCGACGAACACAAATTGTATATGAGCCCCTTATAATGTTTTTTTTTAAGTAATAGGAGGCAAACGGTCAGGAGGCTCATCTGATGTTAAGTGATACCGCCACTCATGTAGATGGCTCGCAAGTGCGTTGCAGTTCTTTCAAGAAATGAATGACATTGTTCTTTAACACTTTTCTTAGAGAGAATAAGCACAGCACGTCAACTGCGTCTAATTATCAATTAATTAATCTAAAGACCTCAGATTCGCGGACGATATTGTCTTATTCGCTGAATCAAGTAAGGAACTGGAAAAGATGATAATTACCTTAAAGAAAGTGGAAAGGAAACATTAGGCCTTAAAATGAACGAGCACAAAACTAAAATAATGACAAACTGTGCGGTTGCTACAAACACTACAGTATACCTTAACGGAAAGCCTCTGGAATATGTAAAAATCTACATATACCTTGGTAAACAATTATCATTCGAAGATAAAAATTAAGAACTTGAGGTAGAGCGGCGAATTAACATGAGCTAAAAAGTTTTGGTCCATGAAGGAAATCTTAAAAGGTCAATTTCCTCTTCACCTCAAGAAAATTATCTTGGACACTTGTATCTTACCTACTCTCACATACGGCTGCCAAACGTGGACTTACAATACAAAAATAAAAACTAAACTAGTAGCATGCCAGTGGAAAGAAGCGTACTTAATATAATATAAGAAGAATACATAAAATTAAAAGCGAAAAAATAAGACGAAGAACAAAAGTTATAGTAAGACATCTATCATCATTATGCCCCAAAACAGAAGTGGCAATGGGCGGGGCATATAGCAAGATACACCGATAATAGGTGGACCTTAAAGACAACTGTATGAAAAAGACCAAGAGGAAGAAGGAGCGGTAGCAGGAAACGAATGGAGAAAGAGATCCATAGACAGAGTCAGTTGGAAGAAGCTGAAGGTGGCCTTAACCCGTGAAGGGGTTCCGATCGACGGTACTGAAGGAAGCTAGAATATAGAATAACAAGCAAAAGAAAAAAAATGTATAAAAAGTAAAATAATCTAAGATGTGTATTATAATTTGTTTTTGTCATGATTGGATTGGAATTGGAATAATAATAATAATAATAAAACGGGCTTTATTATTAATATTATTAATCTAAAGACCACTACAATGCTAATAAACTTAATGACCCGATTATACGAATTCAACGAAGCATATAAGTAAGGCCGTTTTACTATTAAATGACTCCATAATTCAATTTTTTTAACTCGTATTATTATATTATATAACTTAACTATCATTTATGAGAATTGCGACCTCGCTTGCCTTGTCTTCAATATTGCAAAATCTTTCCACAAGCCATATTAAATATTAGTCAACACTAATATTTTCTCAGAAACAGACGTTTACAAGTGATGGTGTACAAGTGATAAGGTAGGTACTATTTTTCATAATAAACTATCACTGCTTTTCGCTATCTATTATTTTTATTTTACGCGAGCCACACCCAAGAGGCTCAAAACAAGGTGTCTATAGTAGATTAAGCGATTTGGTTGTAAAGAAGTTTAAATAGTTTAGTTTAATAATATTTCAACTTAACAAATTCGTTTATACTTTCTGTGGTTATTACTATTTCAGTCAATGATTAACCAAACCCTAAAGCAAAATAATTTAATGGATAGCCTATTTCCCCTTAATTAGTTGCCGTTGATAAGAAAAATTAAACATATTTAAATGTCAGTTATAAAACAGGATACAAAAAATACCCATAATTGCCAAACCTTAAATCACCGACGTGTCTGTAAGAAAATTCCAAAACTCAAAATTGGGTCTCTATGAATATAATAATATGTCTTGTTTTATCAAGATAAAGCATAATGAATTCAAGTATTTCACGTTTGAGAGAGCGCAACTATTAAATATCCTGCCTGCGTCGATTACATGTCAACACAGCGCCATTAAGAGACGTTAGGCGAGCTTTATAGATTTGTGAGTTATTTGTTAATTGTTAAAACAACAATGAATAATAAATAGAAGTGTATTTATTATTCCCTGTTCGTTGTTGTTTCATAGTATTCGTTTTAGTCCGGTCAATCTAGACCAAAAAATGAGTGTGAAGGTATATAAAGTCCCAACAAGCTGAAAATCAGTAAAATTGTTAAAAACATACTTATAAATAATATTTAAGATATTATAATATAACAGTAGGAAAAAAAGTATTAATATATTTTTTTTTATATATTTTATGATCTACATTTTTTGCTAAAGTACTTTTATGATAAAACTTACCGTTTTGCTAAAATCGCGAAAAAAACATTTTTTTGACCTTTGACTTCGAATAAAAAAACTTTTAAATAATAAGTATGTTTTGAACAATTTTACTGATTTTCAGCTTTTTGGGACTTTATGTACCTTCGAATGTCTAAATTGACCGGACTATTTATCTTGTTTTGTGTTGTGTAATTATTAAGAAAATGTAATTGCTGTATTTTTATCTAATAATTCTTCTGTTTTTTGCCTGCTATTGTACTTATTTTTTTAATGTAATATATATTAATTAATAAGCGTAATGTATTATTGTAATAGTATCTTTTCTCATGTAAGTGAATGTTGTAATGTTATCAATGAGAAATATTTGCCAACGGGCATTACAATAAAAGCTTACATCTAGGAACACATAAAAATAGCAATAAAAACTCATTGTACAGTTGTACATTCTTTAACAGGCAAACACAGCACGCTTTATAAGTCACTAGCGGACATGACAGACGTTGTCCTATTCAAACAATATTGATTTCAGAAACAAAGTGTTTATTATCCTAAAGCTTTATGATATACAACATTCTTTGTTTGTTTTTCTGTCTGACACGTGAACAGATGTATTTTATCAATATAATTATTAATAAATATATATTTTATCAATATAATAACTCCGATCGAAGTATTTGTTTTAAACGATATTTATTTTTCTTACATCCTCTTTGACTACATTTATTCTGTCAATGTTTGAAAAGGAAAGCGCAATGCACTTAAATAAAATGCTAAAAGTCGTGATTACTTAATATGGTGGTTAAGTATTCTTAATCTTTCTAATTTTCCGCGCTATTTTCTTATTTTTTTCCTTCTTAAGAACCTTCTACGGACAATAACAAACACAACAAAAAAATATTTTAACGAAATCGGTCCAGCCGTTCACGCGTGATGCCGTGACCAAGGGAAATAGGGATTCATTTATTCATATTATGTATAGATAACGATTTCTAACTAACATAATTGTTACAAACTATAAATGTGATCTAAAAAGGGATATATATAAATGATACGTTATTGCAAAATTTTAGGAAAATAGCCCTGGAAAACTGTGAGAAAAGGAAAAAAACTGTTTAAAGTGTCTATTTAATTACATACTTTATAGAAAAACAATTCCACCATAGGTTACTTGTGACATGTAAATTCGTTATTAATTCTCATAGGAGCCTTTTCATTAATACCTATTAATATCAGATTCTCATCTTTTATTGAAAAAAATAGGTCATAATCCTACAGTTGTCAATAAATAAATATAAAACGCGTCAACGTTAAAAGACCAATAGTAAAAACGAATGAGGGCAATAAACCAAAACTAAAACACAAGTTGCGTTTGTAATTTCTTTCGTACAAAAAGCTAATCTCAGAAATAATCGTACAATTTTTATGCGGTTCTTGGTTAGTTTGGAGAAAATTTGGGCGAATTTTAATAAAAAAAATGTTATGAAGCGTGGTTTATATATCTATATATCTTAACGATCACTATTAATTTTATCTTAGTGATTTGCTTAGATAATGATATGTAATAATATTAGTAATTTAAAATAATTGCGATAATTATATTTGTAATGGTGTTAAATGTTTAATTGAATAAATATATCCTGACTTAATAGTGACGCGAGCTATGCATATAATAAATATTTTTTATCGAGATAGACCTATTTGCTTGTACACTGGCTGAGCTCAGAGCTACTGGTTATGTTATTTGTTATAAGATCTAGGAATATAATATAATTATATATATTTTTTATTATCGTTTTTTGATTGAAGGATTATTATCGGTGTAGGTATTATTGTGTAGTTCTATCGCATTAGTAGTAACTGTTGAGAAAGAATATATATCTCGAAAGAAATAATAAATTATTATTATTTAAGTATTATTATTATTTTCTTATGTAGCCAAGTCCACATTTCAAGGATCGTCATGCTCGCTTAAATGTCATTGCTTGTGGCGGCGTCCATGCGTCGGGTTGTCTCTCTCCCTAAAATATGGCGAGGGGGCCGATGGCTGGCCATGCGTCATACTCGTGAACGGGTGCTACTTGTGGTGACTGGTCGTACTTGAATTCGTGTATGCGGTGATGTTAATTATTTCGACTATGTGTTTGCGTGTTGTTCCCACGAGAATGTAAGTGCGTGCTCCTATTTCACCATGCCTCCTGCTGATAGGGGACAAGTCTTTGTTTTTATTTATGTTATTATTATTAATTACTTAAAATGTCATGTGGAACATGGTGTAATGGTTGCAGCTCCTTACAAACGTTGTAAAAAAAAAAAAAAAAAAACATGGCGATTAAAAAGAGTGGCGGAGAGTTTATTGCCAGTTCTTCTCTTCCGTTCTACGCCCTTGATTTGAGAACTGGCAGTAAATGTAAAATTAGAAGCATTAATATTTATTTCTTTAATGACGAATCACAAGTGTACATTGTGTTACCTACGTGAATAAATGATTTTTGAATTTTGAATTTTTGACTAAACCCTCCGGTAGGTAGGTACGATTGTGTTAGTGTGCTAATTGCAAATTTTTGCATTAACTTAGTCCTGTGTTGCTATTTTTGCTATCGTCGATGTAAATATATATTAATACCTTTTTCTTATTATCTTTATTAAGGTTGATTTTGATGCTTGTGAACCAGATGCTTTGAATAATTTACCAATCCATCAAATAGTAGTTCCTTCGAAGTCAGTTTTGACACCAGAGGCATTTCGACCCTATCCGCATGTTGTAACAAAGTAATAAAACAAACAAAATGACGACGACGGCCAGGAAAACCACGAATTTATACTGCAGACCCGAAAATAAGAAGTGCTAATCCGCAACAAAGATCAAGAAATGTGATTCTAAATTTAAGATACATAACTAATTAAATTTTGTTTTACATAAGAAAAGCTATGTAATTTTTGTTCACTATAAGAAAAGTATTTTATTTTTGTTTAATAGAAATTAAATCTTTATTTTTCTGTTTAATTTCATTACTAATAAATGAATTTTGATTTATGTGTGTCGTTTTAATCGCACGTACGGAACAACCCCACAGCGTACGAAGGTACCCCCAACACTGTACGAAGGTTGATGGGGCAGATTCGTACGTTTTCCAGATTTAGTTTAAATCATAATTATGGGTAAACCATCAGATGAAATCATTTGTATTTTTTTTATATTAATCTCAGATAGTTAGACTATAAATTTAAGCTATCAGGTGATTAATTCATGGAAAAAGAAAAAAATAAAAAAATAAAATGTGAAAACCGTACAAAGGGTCCCGACCTGCCCCTATATCATACAATATAAAACATTTTAATAATTTTATTTCAAATTGCATAAACAAGTGCTGGTGAAAATTATGCTTTTTTGGCAGGTTTGTTCAGAAATGACACGAGTGAGGGTCGCTGAAGGAATTCTGGAAGGAGAAAAGTTAGATAATGATTACGGGGGGTCGTTTTATAGTTTTAAGGGAATACCCTACGCAGAGCCTCCTTTGGGGGAGCTGAGATTCAAGGTAACGCATAAAAACACTTGCTTGGTACATCTAGTTCTAAAAAGTATATATATGTATATAAAAATAAATAAATATAGATAGTTCCAGCTGCAGTTAATTTTTTTCCAATTTATTATAATTTATATACCTAATTAAATTTTTGTGTCCTGTTACATAAATATATTAGGTCCTTACATATGAAATTGGCGTTTTGTCGTACTGGCCACTTTGACCTTAAATATCTCCTCTTTGGTTAGGAATTCCAAATTCAAATTTTATAGCTATTTACTCGTGCATTTGTTTTTCGAAAACCATGATTCATTTCATTTTCCCGTTTGAATTTTTACTTTGCGTCACTCTATAAAATGTAAAAAATTCAATATCACGTTATTTACGAGTACGAGTTCCACCGTGGCACCAGTGCTGCAGAAACGGTTCGAAGGATAATTGATTTGTATGGCGGCAGTATCGCAAAAGGTTCCAACGTTTTCGTTCTGGAAATTTCCTGTAGAACAAGCCACGTGGACGGCCGGAGACCAAAGTTGATAACGAGGAATTGAAGGCTATTATAGAAGCGGATCCATTGTAAGCTACGTCTGAGTTAGCTGCAGGATGCGGTGTTAGTGATAAATCTGTATTAAGCCACTTGAAGCAAATTGGAAAGGTGAAAAAGCTTGAAAGCTGGGTCCCTCTCGGGATTTTCAATCGAAGCATTACCTGTGATGAAAAGTAGATCCTGTTCCTGTACGATAATCGGAAGCGCTCATAGCAATGGCTAAAACCAGCCAAAATCGTGCCATAAGCGAAAATTTACTCGAAAATTTAAATCTGGCCCGACGATTACGCCAGATGTCTATTGTTAGCAACTGCAAAAAATGGTGGAAAAGCTAGCTAAACAACCAAGGCTGGTCAATCGCTCTAGGCCACTGCTGCTTCACGACAACGCTAGACCACACACTGCACAACAAATTCCTACCAAATTAGGAGCTTCAATTGGAATGTCTAAGACATCCACCATGACATCCTCAAGACATGATCTCCGGACCTTGCTCCAACATATGACCATTTTTTTCGAAATTTGGCTAACTTCTTGCAAGGTAAAAAATTTAACTCTGATGGGGCAGTCGAAACCGCCTTTAAAGATTTTATCGATTCCCTTTCGAATGGGTGTTTTATGTAAATGGATCAATGAATTACCTATAAGATGGCAAAAGTGCATAGATTGCATTGGTACATACTGTGATTAATTAAATAAATTCTATTAAAAAAATCTACTTTTTGTTCCTCCCATACAATACGCCAATTTCAATATACGTAAGGACCTAATATTTAGTGATTAAAACTAGTAAAAGCAGGATTAATTACATTAAATATTATTGAGAAGTTTTAATAATTACAAAACAAAAATATCTTTAGACCAATAGATAATACTTGATTAAGTATATTTTATAGGCTCCAATACCAAAACAGCCATGGACGGGTGTTCGGCTAGCCACGGAGCATGGGCCTCGCTGTTACCAAATAGATTTATTTTTTCAACCTAAATCTAACATGGAACCGTCTGGAAGCGAAGATTGCTTATATCTTAATGTTTATAGCCCTGACATTGCACCGTCTAAACCACTTCCAGTTATGGTTTACATTCATGGAGGTGCTTTCATAAGCGGCAGTGGAAATGATGATATTTATGGGCCAGAATTCTTAGTAAAAAATGATGTAATTCTCGTAACAATCAACTATAGGCTCGAAGTAATCGGATTTCTCTGCTTCGATACTGAAGATATACCAGGAAACGCTGGAATGAAAGATCAGGTAGCTGCATTAAGATGGGTGAAGAATAACATAAAAAGTTTTGGTGGTGATCCAAATAATATAACCATTTTTGGTGAAAGTGCTGGCGCTGCAAGCGTATCTTATCATTTAGTTTCACCAATGAGTAAGGGCCTATTTCAAAGAGCAATTACGCAAAGTGGGACATTATTATCTCCTTGGGCGTACAGTTCAGTCAGCGCACGAGAAATAGCCCTCCTTCTTGCCAATCATATGGGATGTGAAAGTAATGACGACAAAGTTATTTATGAATTCTTTAAAACTCAACCAATCGAAAATCTAATAATGAAACAATTTCCTTTAACCTACGCACAAAACGCTAAAAATTGGGTGAACATTACATTTCCTATCGTTGCGGAAAAAGAATTTCCTAACATCGAGGCCTTTTTTACCGGTGACGTCGTTGAGGTACTACGTCAAGGTATTCACGAAGGTGTTGATGTTATAAATGGAGGCACAGCAGACGAGGGAACAGTTGTTTTTGTTTCAGGACTTAAAGCTGAAACCGTATATGAACAGGCCAGAAAATTTAACGAACTTTTAATTCCTCAACCACTATCATATCATTGTTCAACATTGCAACAATTGGAAATAGGCAAGAAAGTTAAAGAATTTTACTTAAAGGACGCAAAGACACTGGAAGAGGTTATGCAAAAAGTCGTAAGATTTATGGGGACGGATTATTTTAAATATAATGCATGCTTATGGCAAAAGATATGTGCAAAGACTAATAAAAATAAAATATACTATTACAACTTCACGTGTCAATCCCAAAGGAATATATTTTCAAATCGATTTAACACGGGAGAATTTTTACCCAAAAACTCAGTGTCACACTGCGATGATCTGGCTTACATATTTCCTTGTAAATCTTTGTTACCAAAAGTAGAACCCAACTCTAAAACTTATAAAATTATAGACACGGTTACACAATTGTGGTCTAACTTTGCAAAGTATGGGTAAGTATATAAACTTAGTTTTCCCATATTTTAACTTTAAGGTTTGTGGAATACGTTGTTTATTTTTATTATAATTAACTCAACGTTTGCATTTCAGAAACCCGACGCCTGACAATAATTTGAAGACAATATGGGAGCCATTCACAATTGAGAAACAGTATTATATGGATATTGGTGAAAAACTTCAGCTGGAATCGGAACTTGACAAGGAGGAAATTACTTTTTGGGAAACGATTTTTAGTGAATATTTTCCTCGCTTGGCGCCATAAATGATTTTTTTTCATTTATATTATATTTCTTTCATGGAATGTTTAAATACCATGCCTAAAAGGTCAGGAAAACATTGGGTTTTGTTGTTTGGGCTTTAAACTATAACACGTTTGAAATATGGGAAATGGAATCTAAAATGCAATAAAAACTATATAAACTTACCCAGTTGTCACTGTTATTTCTTCCACTCTTGGTTCACCTAAAACAACAACAAAACTGTAGTAGGTATTCTAGTCTTATAAAATGGTTCTTTTGCAACAAAATTATTTAAATATTTGCTTCTATGATGACAGTTTTAATAACCTACAACTCACTCGTTTAATTATATATTCTAATATTAGAACATATCTTTGAAGGATAATCTAGCCTATTTGTATTTAAATTACGAAAACAACTGTCTGGTTTTTGAATAATTAATTAGATAGTTTCAATTTGTAATCAAAGTTCTATGAATATGCAGCGCAGATCGCTTGGTTGTAATTAAATTTTAATCCTTTTGTAAAACTTACAGTTGACTAGAACCACAAGGCTTATACAACTTTGATATTATGCTATAGACATGTTACAAGGCGGATAATAACGAAGTATTCAGTACAATACTGCAACTAAAGTTTTGTTAAGGAAATACACTTAAAACTGCTTACTAAGATTATTTGTTCAATGGCCTTTGCGTCTTATGTGCTCTTTAAATATTTTTTCAAGCGAATCAAGGTGGTAATCATACGTAATGAAATTATATTACATATACTATCTAGCCCGTGATATCGCCTCGTCTACATCGAAATCTTTAGAAGTACCCCATAACCATTACATTTTTCAATCATTTCCATTTAATTTATACCATAATTTCGATCTCCAAATGACCGCCTAGACCAGCGAAGGACGGTCGCGATCTCCTGTTTTAAAGGTAATTTTTAGTCGCTGAACCAACGAAGTAAGTATTAAGATAATATACTGCTCAAAACAATTAGCGGAACAAGATTTTTCTCCTTTCTATTGCTTAAACTAAAATTAGATTTAAATTAACTTGTACGCTATTTTTTACCTTGTTAATTTGTTAATTACTACAATTAATAAAAAAATTCAATTTGTATTTTTTTTATTAAAAAAAAATTAAAATGTGCATTGTAGACGAAAAACTAATTGGTGATAAAAAAGGTCCATCAAAGAAATATTCTTATATCGTTTGAATATTCGTCTTTAGTGACTTTCAGTAACGTGTGAGGCCTCCATGAGCCCTAATCACGGCTTGACAACGACGCGGCATGCTTCGTATGATCCTCCGAATATCTTCTTGTGGAATTCGCTCCCATTCTTCAATCAACGCTTCAGTGAGCTGCTGCAGTGTTTGAGGTGCAATCGGACGCTTCCGGATGCGCCTGTCAAGCAAGTCCCAAATGTGTTCAATTGGATTTAGGTCAGGGCTCATGGAAGGCCACTCCATTACACGGATTTCCTGCTGTCGTAAGTAATCTGACGTGATGGCTGCAGTATGCGGCCTGGCATTATCTTGCATTAAAAGAAAATCTGGGCCCATACCATATGCTGCGGGCCAAACATGATCTTCGAGCACATTTTCAATGTAAGTTTGAGCACACAAGCGCCCGGGAACAACGACGAGATCTGTGCGCTCGTCCAAACTAAATCCACCCCAAACCATCACAGAGCCACATCCAAATTTGTCATATTCCTGGACTGCTGCTGCACTGTATCGCTCGCCTGGGCGTCTGTAAACACGGAGACGACCATCGCAACGTGTTAGACGGAATCGTGATTCGTCAGTAAAAAGCACTGGCCTCCAATGTCGAAGTTTCCAATTAGCGTGATTTTGCGCGAACTATGTTGAATTGTTAGACGCACAGCCCGAACTGGTCGGCGTGATCTCAAATTGGCTTCCAACAACCTATTTCTTACCGTCTGGTCGGAAATTTCTACACCAGTAGCCGTCCTTATTGTATTTTGTAGATCTCTTGCAGTTGTGGTGCGGTTACTTAAAGCACAGTTGACGATGTAGCGATCTTGCAAACGTGTAGTTTTTCTCTTTCGACCTTGACTTCGTGAGTATTCTCCCGTCTCACGGTATCGCTTCCAAAGTCTGTAGATAACAGAAGGGGCTACTCCTAAATCATTTCCTACATAACGCATAGTTCGACTCTCTTCAAGCAAAGCGATAGCTCGGGAGACATGCAATTCAGTCAGATCTGGCATTATGACCTAAACTCACTCGCTTCAATGAATAACAATACTCAAAAGGCTCACTTCAATTTCTATTAATACTCAAAAGATTGAAAAAAACTACTTAAAATGTGTTTTCTGTGATTAGAAAGTAATGAAAATTCAAAGACGTCACTTTGTTTTTCGTCTCTAATGCACATTTTAATTTTTTTTTAATAAAAAAATACAAATTGAATTTTTTTATTAATTGTAGTAATTAACAAATTAACAAGGTAAAAAATAGCGTACAAGTTAATTTAAATCTAATTTTAGTTTAAGCAATAGAAAGGAGAAAAATGTTGTTCCGCTAATTGTTTTGAGCAGTATATATAAGATTTATAGAAAATAATTAGCATCGCCCCAAATTCAAACAAAAATTTATAGAAATAATTTTTACAAAAAACTTTTTAAAAATATCTCTCTAAAACCTCTGTTACTCTTAAAAGTCCAAACCTTAAGTTTTGATGTTCTCGTATTTTTCCTCCATCCGTTTTTCTGAGACTGCCTTTTAATTAGGGCCTGAAATCGTTGCAATATAAAATGTATGTAAAAACTATGATATATAAAAAAAATATTTTCCTTAAGACTGTATAGTAGGAATAAAGATACAATCGACGTTTTTTATCATCTATCTAGATTTATTCTGAAGATACCATGATAATTCACCTATATATATATTTTAAGATTAGCCTTTATTTCAGTGTGCAACTTTTCAAAATGATAACGTCAGTGATTTCTATAGCTTTATTTATCGGCTGCGTTAATTCAGTTCAAGTGACAATTGAAGAAGGTATTGTAGAAGGTGTTGAGGTTAATAATCATTATGGAAGTCCATACCACAGCTTCAGAGGGATACCTTACGCTGAACCCCCTCTAGGAGACTTACGATTCAAGGTATTTTATAAATATAATCAGCTTAGCTCTTTATCTTCCTTTAAATCTCTACTGTACAAGCATTACCTGTCCACATCATATCCTTTAATTCGACTTTCATACTAACCGATCTGAAATTATCGTGATTCATGTGTTCTACTGTTATATCTAATATATAAAATTCTCGTGTCGCGGTGTTTGTAGTTAAACTCCTCCGAAACGGCTTGACCGATTCTCATGAAATTTTGTGTGCATATTGGGTATGTCTGAGAATCGGACAACATCTATTTTTCATCCCCCTAAATGTTAAGGGTAGTCCACCCCTAAATTATTTTGTTTTAATTTTTAGATTTTTTTTTGTTTTAATTTTTTTATGATTCAGCATTAAAAAATACATACAACCCCTAATGTTCACCCCTCTACGATCAACCCCTATTTTTTATTATAAATGATTTACATGGCAAAACGACGTTTGCCCGGTCAGCTAGTGTTATATATATATATGTTTTAATTACTTTGCACTTCTTGCACACCACTTCACTTCCTCACCTTTATATCTGTTTTTTTTTCTTTTCTAAAAGTGGTTGACTGGAAGAGATTGCTTGAAAGCGATAAGGCCGATAGTTGTCATTCTTTTAATTATTTTAATTCTACTGGATTTCTGTATTACTGAAACGAATTGTAAATAAATAAAATTTAAATTAGTGGTACTTGTGTACGATTTAGACCGATCAAACGCATTTTCCAAATGAATTGCTTTCTTAATTCTTTAATTAATATGACGCTGTAATCGACTTTGATTTAACAGTTTTAAGTTTTTAGGCCCCTCAACCTTTCAAACCATGGACTGGTGTGAGGCAAGCTAAGGAGTATGGATCTGTTTGCTTTCACTATAATTTGTTCATCGTACCATATCCTCCTCCTATGGGCAGTGAAGATTGTCTCTTTATTAATGTTCACTCGCCAAATGTTACATCACAAGAACTATATCCAGTTATGGTTTGGATCCATGGAGGAGGTTTTATCAGCGGTAGCGGCGATGAATATGAGCCCCATTTTTTAATAAGAAAGGGAGTGATTTTAGTCACTTTTAATTACCGACTAGAAGTTTTAGGCTTTCTCAGCCTTGGAACAGAAGACGCCCCTGGAAACGCAGGAATGAAAGACCAGGTTCTAGCTATGCGTTGGGTTAAGAAAAATATCAGAAAGTTTGGAGGAGATCCTGACAACATCACTATATTTGGAGAAAGTGCAGGTGGTGCAAGTGTTTCATACCACCTGATCTCACCGATGACAAAAGGTCTTTTTAAACGAGCAATAACCCAAAGTGGAACTGCTAACAGTTGGTGGCCAAATACATACAGAGCAAGGGAAAGAGGTATTCAACTCGCGCGGGAAATGGGTAGCAACGCAACGGATATTAAAGATATGTATGAGTTTTTAAAAATACAACCTGTTGAGGCTTTTGTCAAAAGTAGAATAGTCGTCACATACACACAGGCCACCAAAGAATCACCAAACGTTTATTTCGGAATTGTATCAGAGGAAAATATTGCCGGTAATGAAGTTTTCTTCCAAGGCGACGTGTACGATACAATGCGAAATGGAATCCATGAAGGTGTTGACGTTATAAATGGATATACAGAAGACGAAGGCACACTCTACATAGCGACAGGAACAAATATACCTAGAATATTCGAGCAGGCTAATCAGTTCTATGAGTTTTTTGTACCCGAACCACTTACATTACACGTCCCTCTCGTTGAACAAACAAAAATCGGTAAAGATATGAAAGATAAATATATGAAAGGTGCTATAGTTTCAAGGGGAAATGTTGACGACCTACTGAAATATTTCGCATTTGAGAATTTTGTTTACGGTGCTCTCTCTTGGCAGAAATTTGTAGCTAAAAATAATAATAACAATAAAATATACTTGTATAAATTTACATGTAAAACAGAGATGAATTTAGCTATCAATGCATCTGCTGAGGCTGCAGCATTGTTCCCACATAGAATATTAGTCGGACATGCAGATGATCTTCCTTACTTCTTCCCCTTTGGAGAAGATTTGGTAGATATGAATTCTGAAACATTTCAGATCATTGACAGGGCGACGACGCTTTGGACAAATTTTGCTAAATACGGGTAAGCCATTAAGTTAATAAATCAATCAAAATGTTTTCTCTTAATTTTAACTAAATAATTATTTTCATATAAATAGTAATATACACTTCTGTTTTGCACTATAGTTATGAAATGTGTTTTTTTTTTTCAGAAATCCTACTCCAGACAACAGCCTAGGAATAACCTGGTCACCTTATTCCTTAGAATCGGAAGATTACTTAGATCTAGGCAACGTTTTAGCCGTTGGAAAAACACCAGAACAAGAAGAATTGAAGTACTGGGAAGATTTGTTTAATGAGTACTATCCCCATGTGGTGCCATTAAATAATGCTCATCACTTAATGACCTCAAGGTTTAACGTTTACGCATTTAGTGTTATTATCGGCTTATATTCAACTATACATTTATTTTAAAAAAAACTAATCCAGAACTACAACACGATTATTTTACAATGTCAATCAATTTTAAAAACAATTTCAGTAAATTTTTTGTAAGTATAGAACCTATACAAATTGTTATTATTAATTTCTCGGCATTAAAAATTTTAATTAAACATTCATTATTTTAAGATCACAAAACACTTTTCTAGACAAAAGACAGGACTCCCGTCTCTCAGGGGTGCCATCCTGGTAAACACGTAAACAAACATCAAATTTATTTTAAGTTAATTATATAAAATATTATATTGGAATTAAAACAAAAAAATTAATACAAAAAGTTTTGTCTAAAAAATAAAAACATGGATTCTGGATATTTAAGTCCAGAATTTTTTAGTTTTTGAAATTAATAATTTAGTTGAATGTTGACAGTTGTTTTAAAGTTTTTGACAGTTGAATTTATAATTTAAAAATAGTTGATGACAAATAATTGAAATGTCTTGCTATTTATTCAAAACCAACCAACATTGGCCAATGAAGAGCCTAAAGCCAGTCAAAGTTGGCGTGTCTACCAAAATCTCAGTCTATCACTGTATTATCCAAAAACAGATAAAATACTAATTTTAGAATTGTTATATTTTCTGACATCTGTCTTGTAGACCAGAGACAACATAACCCTTAATAGTTAGGGAGGCGAGGTAACTAAATAGCGTAATTCAACGGCGCCGTCGAGACCTATCAAAATCGAAAGATAAAATAATTTTGAAAAGAAAAGCTCGTATGGTAAAAACCATTTTAGCGGTGGGTTTGGCGTGTACGGTTTTTCAAAAATGTTAAAAAAACAGTTACTTGGGCATTCTCGAGCGCGTCAGATATTCATACTACGTATGCCCCAAGTGCCTCTGATAACAGCGGTATACTAATCTGCCGGTTTGCGTGGTTGGGGTAGGCATATAAAGTAGGCAAAAATGCAAACAAAAAAAATTTACTCGAGCGCGTCAGATTTTCATAGGGGAGGTATATCTCGGTATCCTGAAAGGATATTTTCTTAATCTGACAAAAATGTTGGTGGGTTCTCTTAATCTGACCGAAAAAGGTTTTTTGGTTTCTTTTTTCTTCTTTCCCCACCATCAATGTTGCGAAATAAAGGAAAAATACTGGTAGGACGGCATATTTCCGCGAAGCGCTCAGTCTGTATTACATGTTTATGGCAAATACCTCTTTTTTGCTTCAATTCTTCACTTCGTTTTGCTTACGGTACGTCCAAAAAACAATTTGAGGATCAACAGGCTATTGAATAATATACATACATGAAACTGTACATGTTAATAATACTTTTGTATACAGATACGCGTAACTTTTTCCGAGTCCACGAAAATTGTCGAGAAGCTTTAGAAAAAAAATTTTGAGATATAATAAAAGTCACATAATTTAATCATCGTTATTTCATATCAATTTTTTTAACACCCTCAGTTTTCGAGATATACTAAAAAAAACGGGAGTTTTGAGTTATGCTTCAAGTCAAAAAGTTTTAACTTTGGACAAAAATGTAAAGAGACCTTTTTTGTGTAAAATAAAATTACCTTTTTTGTTTATTTAAACTTTTTTTTGTAAAATGTATCGTTCACGACTTATATGCCGCAACGCGTTTTTCGGAAGACGAAATGTCTCCTCCACACTTCCGGTCATGCGGAAACCGGCAGATTTTGTATTTTTAGTAAGTTTTAGATTATATTCTTCAAAATAATAAAAAAATCGCGCTCGAGAATGCCGGATTAACGTTTTTTTTTTACAAGTTCGCGACCCTATAACTCGGCGGCGTCAAGGACTTATCGTCAGATTAGTTAAATTTAGTCTTTAAACACTAAAATCAACCCCCAATATCTTAATCTGACGCGCTCGAGTATTTCAGACTATCGATTTTTTTTACTTATCTGATCGTCTATCCTAGTCGCGCGTCACTACATATAGAGCTAAATACTTTACAAGGTTGTTCTATTAGGTCTAAGGTATCTCTCATATCTTAAACTGCCACGCTCGAGTATTACCGAAAATTCCCCTATTCGCCTCCCTAACTATAAGTGGCAGAAAAACTTCATGAAGAAAAATTTAAACTGTTCTTGGGAAGTAGATAAAATGTTGACAATTAAACATTTATATGACTCACGACAATAAGCCATGCCAAAAAAATAATAAAATTAAGAGTATATATTATGAATAATACGATTATGTTGACAATAAGAATAAATTAAATAAGTTTTTTTTTTGTATTAAGGCGGACCTCCCTCCAAGGACCAAAGACCCTCTTTATGTTTCGCAAAGTGCGTCCCACTAACAAAAAGCCAAAATTTATAAAAAAAATCTCCATTGCATGATATAATAACCATTCATAAAATCTTATAATCATATATATCCGCAACAAATAAAATAAATACACGTCTCACAGTATAAATATTAATTTAAAAAGTTCTTTTAAAAACAAAACAATTTCCCTGCTACGGATAGAATATTGAGTCTTACAGCGCTTGAATTATTCATTCACAAACAAGCTCAACACTTATAGTAATATCGCTTAGCCTGTGAAATAGCTCAGCGTTTGCTCAACTTATAATTAAATTATAATCCCTTTGAGCCTGAATTCAAATCTTGTACTTGCCTTTGAATTTTTTCGAAAAGTTACATTTAACAACGTAAGTTGTTTGAAAATACTTCAAAAGGCTTAACACCTTTTGTTTTATAAATCACTGTGTTCGTTAAAAAATTTTGAGTGACAGCATCGAGCGCTTAAATACTAAGGTTGTTCAATAAAAAGTGATAATGAGTATGACACTATTATCTCATTACCCCTGACATACACCAAAACTATGACTAATATAATAACGGAAAATCTGCTAGATGTTTTAAAATAATTTCCACATATCACCTACACACACCCTCCCAAATACTCACTCACATACACACACTCACTCACTCTCTCTCTCTCTCTCTCACACACACACACGCATACATACAACTCTATTTCTGTAGGAATCTAGTTGACTGTTGATTAGTTTTTATTTTTCGTTTTTTTGAAAACTTGAAATGTTGTTGCCTACTCATATATGTACTTTTTGTAATGACTTTGTATGAATTTGCTGTGGAATGGAAGCCTGGTTATCCATATCACAGGTTCTTACCTAGCTTGGAAACCAGTCTCCTAATACCTTCTTAATTGTACGCACTGTTTGTTTCAAATGTTATATGGGAGAAAATAAAGAATTATTATTATTTATGTTCCTTTAACCGCGGAAATAGGTAAGCATTGTTAGATCTTTCTATTTTCTTTTAGGCAAAGGCCGATTATAAATATCTGCTATTTTATTGTTTAAAAGCGCATAATATCGCTTGATAGCTCCTGTCCAAAACCTTTTTATGTCGCCGGTAGCCTCTCAAAATCCTTAGTGGACCCGGTATAAAGTTCCTTCTTGAGCTCCACGATTTCTTTCTTTAGATTCCTCCAAGAGCGCCTTCATGGAACGTACTTTGACTGAAGGCAAACAACTTCTGTGTAACTTAATAGAAGAATTTTATTTCATCTATATCACCTTGATAGCTTAATAGTACATTGTCTTCACATTAGAAGATTCTAGTTGCCCCTTCCAAAATGTATCTCTATGAATAAAACTACTATACTAAAAAAATTTGTATGTACCTCACATATTTACAAATATCGAAACCGTAGAATATTATACATTAAAGAGTAATAAAAATAATATAAAAAAAAAACACAATAAAACAGTGTGTGAGATAAAACGTTCAATATAAAAACGTCGTCATCAATACACCTTCCAGTACAAAAATATACAAGAATTTTTTTTCACAAAAAAAACAAATTTTCACTGTTATAGAAGCACAATATTCACATAACACGTGTTACTTGCAACTAAACTGGCCGAGAAATTCCATTGTACATAGCAGCTCTCGCTCCGCTCTCCTGCTGTTCGAGATCTCTACTGCTATTTTTATACACAGGTATCTTTGAAAAATGTTCCTATATGTCTACTCAGGTAAGATTAAACATATAAATAAAATACTGTTTAAAGTGAAAATATATGGTCAAACATTAATTTTTCATAATATTTTTTTTTTAATTATAATAATGGAGTGCACAAAAAATTTTTGGGTAAACATTGCAATTTATAGTTTAAAAAACAATATCCCACATCGATCATATTAATTCATTCACTGTAACTCTAATCCGAGGTGAAAACCCCCAGGCACTATACTATAAGGAAAATATTACTCTTGGTTATTTAATATACTATAAATGTAAGATACTTTGATGTTGTATATCTTTTACGGTGATCATCCTTTACCTTCTAAACTGAAACTTTTGATGTTTTTATCACCGGGAAGAAAACCGATTTAAATATTCCAAACTTGGGTTTTCGTAATAAGGTTTCTGTGATATTGAAATTAAAAGAACTTTGGAAATTCTCTTTCTTCTTCAGATGACTTTCTTTTTTTTAGGTAGTGTCATTATCAGCCAATTATCAATTATTTAGTCAGTCGGCATTGGTTTAAAAAAATAGCGGGACAGGTAAAACGCTTATATAAAAGTTGATTGTATTTAAAAGTTTCTCTGTCCTCACCAAAACCTTTCTAATACATACATTGTTTGCTCAATTTGTTCCCTCCTCTCCAGAGGATTGACTTCTTAGAACATTAAAGTTCACGCCCTTAACACAACAAAATAAAGACTGTTTTGGTACTATTTTGTTTTGCAATTTCAAGTTGCATTATGGGGTTATTGAACTTTACCTTAAGGTACGAGAATGTATTGAGGAAAATTTACTTCTGGTAGGCTGTTTCCTGGGGTATGTGACGTGAAAATACTGTTTTGTTTGTAAGTACCTACTTTAATAAGGTAAGGTTTGGAAATTTCTACATTTAAATGTTTGATTACTTTTTATAAGAAGGGTTTTGTTAAATGTTTCTAACAAAAATAAGAAAACAGACAGTCTTTGTCGAATATAGGTTTAACTTTAAACAATAAA